GCTGAAATAAACAAGCAATTAAAGAAGAAAGGGTTGGGTGTTGCCTCACAGATTTTGCACGACTCTAGAAACAGACCTATGGAGAAAGGGAGCAATCCTTATGTTATGAAGATTTTTGGAGGTAGACAAACCTGAGGCAAGACAGTGTCCCTACCAAGTAGATCCCGACAGCAAAGAAATCATGTATGAAGTGATATGGCAGAAGAGGATAATTATACCAACGTGGAGGTAATGAGGGAATGGTTATCCTCTGAAATTCCTCAGGGGATTGGTGGAGAGCCTCAGAAAGGAGGTGTATGGAGGAAAGGTACTGTAGAAATAAGATGTAAGGGTAAAACGAAGTCGGGAAAACTGGATGTGGGATAAACAGATAGAATTATCAGAGTCTGCCCCCCACACAGTCAAAAACGGCTCCAAATGTTGGGAGTCAAGAAAGGGATGATTGGCCTGATGATAAGCCAATGCTTAATGATCAGAAGCCCATGGTGGATGAGGCATGCTGGCACCAGCCCTCAATTGAGAAATGAAATGCTCGACATGTACCTTGATATTGAGAGAAGGAGGGAAGACAAAGTAATCAGGCAATGAAGCATCATGTAACAAGGAAAGGACAGGATCATATGAAACTGGGGAAAGAGATAAAATGTAACAAACCTGAGAAATCATGTCCAAAAAGGCTGAGGGAGGTTTGGCTTATTTCTCAGGAGAGGCATGGGAGTGCATTGCATAGGTAGGAGACGGAAAAATGGTGTCAAAAATCCTCCTTGTCATGAAAATATTTGCCAGATACAGAAGGAGCCCGAACACTATTGGGAGAATAGGGTCGACTCATGTAAGGATCAATCTCCTGATGAATGATGGCTGAAAAATCCTCAGCCAAAACCCCCTGATCTGAAGTCTGTGTAACAACACTCGAAGTAGCAGGAATAGAAGTTGAAGCTGTGACACAAAATTCCAAATTCATAGTTGACTGGGATCAAGTAGAAAAAAAGGATAAACCATGGTAAATTGAATTGTTCAAATACTACAGTGAAAACTAATTGAAATGGTAAAGCCTTACTTTGCAAAAAAAAAGAACAAATTATTGCTTGAAACCAGGACAACTTTAAAACGTCTGCACTAGACAACTGCCTAATGAGAAGTGATGGTTAGGTAGAATCAAATAGGAGGAGTCACATGCATTGGACTCCTATTGGGGGAGGGTTGTCACATGATTGTTCACATGTGAAGATGCAGTGAACCACATTGATCATGGAGTAAGTGGGAGTTTCAAGGATAGCACTAAATGAGAATAACTTAACTATTATGTGAGCAGAGGTAAGGTATTGTATCAGAATTTCTTTTTCAACTCAGCACTGGGAAATATTGTTACAACATGTTTCCCACACATCCATGAAGTCACTAAGTGACATGTGATAAGAAAGTAGGAATAAGCTGATCATGCACTTCAGCAAGAGCAGGGAAAGGTTTGTGAGGCTCAGGTCTCCATACAGAAAACTACATTCTCACATAGAGCTAATGGAATAAAAAGTGCTCACTTCAAAGATGCTAAGTTTCAAGTTTGTGTTAGTATTCTAGTATAATATGATTTTTTGTGTGAATTCAGCATAGCTAGCATGCAGTTGCAATACAGTGAACATTACATATATTGAGCTATTCAACTATGTACATATAAAATCTTTATAAGTTCAGGATTGATGACAGCTTTGCAAAGGCATCAGTGGGTGCAAAGGGACTTGCAGAAAAATTGAATCATCAGAATGTTTCATATGAATAGCTGATTTGTTCGTGAAAAAAAATTCATAATAAAATTGGGATGAACCTATCTTTGTCAACAGAAAAATTTCAAGGCCAATTTTTTTAAAAGACTGTCAGCAATTTCAAATGAGCATAAATTTGTTTTATTTGAAGGAAGAATTTTGCAATTTTGCTTCATTGAAAACTAAGAAATATAATTTTTTTGTGGCAGAAAAATGTGTGCTTAGCACATTTATGTATAAACTGTTCCATTTTCTCAGGATTTAGTAAATAAATTTGTCTTGACTTATAGCCCTACAGTTTTGTTGCACAATTTAAAGTAAAACGAAAGGGGAAGATTGAATACTTGCTTACAGTAGGGAAACATCTTTCACTAGGCTTGGGACTAAGTGTTAAATAACTTTCTTTTTAGTAGGGCTTTGTGTTAATAAGAGAAAAGAATAAAGCTCCTGACTTTGGCTAAATGTAAAACAAAACTTTGAAAAGCTGGTAATGATTGAGAATATCTTTCAGAAATTATTGGCTCTTGAAAGTGAAGAATTTTGGTAACTATAAAATTGTTAACTCTTTCCATACAAGTTTGGTTCATGTGACCAACCTTGTAACTATGAAGTAATCATCAGAATTTTCATACTATAACTTTTAATATGTCTTGTGTATCTTCACAAAATCTAGCAAGCATTCAGTACACATTACAAGTCCTTTGTACACAAAAAATCATATTTTTTAACTAGATTTGTCCAAAAATATATGGAGTCATAGTGTTGACTGCTCCAAGTGCAAAGTGATTTTCATTTTGAAATTAAATGTACATTTCTTCATCTGAAAAATTTCAATTTCATTTGTGTGTCCTCTAAAACCTCCTAAATAAATCTCAAATTCTGTTTTCAGTAAAACTTAATATTTTTTCTGTTACTTTCTCTACCCTAATTCTATATGGACCCAGTCGATTTCACTGTCTTTGTAACCACAAAGAAACAAATACAAAATAAATCTAAATTACCTTATTTTTCTTTCTAGAAAACTAAACAACTGATTATCCTAAATAGCTTAAAGCTTGTAACAGACTACATCTGTTAATACTTAATTTTATTGTTTTGTTGCCCTTTGAACCATGTCTGACTAATAAATCTGCCACAAAAGTTTTAAATCACTCAGCAAATGTGTAGTTTATGCTACCCTATTGAATGATGTAACACATGAGCCACTTGTGAGTATACCTCATGAAGATTTTATTTTTCATTCTTACCTAATCTAACCTAACAACTTTCAAATTTTTACATCTTAGTTACTTTTATAATAATAAATAGAGAATATACACCAATAAAAAGAAATATCATACTTACCTGTGTCCTCATTTTTCTACTATTGTCGACTATTGGTGAAAGTTAAGCCTACTTTTTTTTCATACTAATGGTACTAGTACATTAAATAGTGCACCTAAGGACACAGAATAATAGCAACACAAAGCAAATAATGTCAAAAACAATCATCATATTAACTCTTTTACTACAGGTGGGTTAGAATAAGAATCATACAATTTTTCTCTAGGTCTTACCTCTTATCTGATTTATTTGTCATCCCTCTAAGAAGTATGGAATTTAATGTAAATTACTCCTTACATTACTTAGGCAAAGCATAATTTTTATGGCTTAGCTAAATTTTTAAAGGATGTTATTGCATAGCTAGAAAATCATAAATTATGATAGTAATAGGAAAAGCTGAGAGAAGACCCAGGAAAATGTAATGTTTTTTAGTTTGACTTTATTACAGTAAAAGTAGTGATTTTTCAATACCATTTAGCACAATATCTTGAAAAATGTCTTTTAATAAACAAACCCCAAATAATCTTAGAAATTTATTTTCCTGCCTCACGAACTTATTAGTTTTTTGGATAAGGTCTTTAGCCTTGATTTTTTTTCAAACCAGTGTACCCTGACAAATATTGTGTATTTTGACTTTAACAAGTTCATAGCAAAAACTTGCATGCTTTTATTGTATTTGAAGAAAATGTTGAGAATTGAATAGAAAACTAATCAAGTTGGAAGTAGAAAACACAAAGTGGTGATAAATGATATCTGTTTAACTGAAAACATTTGACTAGAGCAGTCTCTTGGAGATCTGTTCTACTTTGATATACATTTTTTCCCATTATTTTGATACCTACTGATGTAGTATTATTTCCACATTTGTCAATGAAACTAAAATGCCATGGAAAGTTTATTCTATAGAAATTTTAAGCTTTTGTCTAAGTGCTACATGTATTAATATGATGAAAAGTAGTAATACAGTTCTCGGTTTTATTTACGTAAATCTTGAGTTTATTTGATGTATCAGACTTTAGTAAAGCCTCATTTGGAGTAATTTCAATTTCCTTAAAATACAGAAGAACTAAGTGTGATTTGTTTCAGGTGTATCAGGGAGTTTAGACAGTTGTCCATAGCTGATTTAAGTGGAATAATAAAGAGAGAGACCAGATATAAAATATTAAGGATAAGTACAATCTTATGTACTTTATATCCAGACTTGATATCCAAACCATTCTTCAACCACTGAGAAAAAACAAACACCAATGTATCCAAATTAACTATACATGTAGCTATTCAAAACAAAATTTAAAAACATGTGAAAGTGATAACACACACACAGTCATTAGGTATCTTAAAACACAGCTTAAAAATTAAGTGTAAAAACTACAGTTCTTCAATATTTAGAAGCAGAATGGATCATTTATAAATAAAACAAGTCACAAAGCAATGTATCAAGTAAATGAAATGGGTTTTCTATAGTGAATTTTTATTATATTTCACTAATCTTTTTTAATCACTTTAATAGAACAGTAATGTTTAAAATTCTACAAATATATCCACTGCTTTACCTCTGCATATGTTTCACATTCTTCCACTGAGAATGCTGTATCTGCACTCTTCTTTAACTGAGCAACTTCACTGTTAAGTCCAAGTTTACCCCAGGCATACTTCTGTACAGGGCATTTCAATTGGAATACTAGAAAAAAACAACATAAAAAGTAGTTTTGTTTAGAAAGTATTTTCTTTATCGCTCAAGGAAGTGGATCATTTAGCTTAAGATATCATTTTTAAAAATAAACTATTGTTATTATGTCTCTAGATATTCATATCGAAAGAATAACCACTCTACAAAAGAGAAAGTAAGTAAAGGTATATACATATATATATATATATATAGTTATATACATCATAATTTAACTTTGTATGAAAATATGCACCATTAAAAGGTAATTCTATAAACAATGTTATTACTTTTTTTAACATTTTGTTTACTGGTGTTTTAAAAAATTAAATATGTCTGACTCTTTATTGTAAACATATAAACAGGTATGTCAAATATCAGACAGGCTGTAGCACTGCCTATGTAGGGGTGGCTCAGATTGTTCATCAAAATGGTATTTAAACATCTCTTCAACAGGTCATCAGAACTTTACAATACTATACAGTGTTTCCTTTTATAACAATATCTACCATACTGCCCCTAATTAAAGCCCCCTCTCTAATTATTGCCCCTCCCCCCAGTATTTTCATAAAGGTTGCCTTGTGTGACAGCAATAATGATCCTACATATAATCCACTTTTATTACTGTAATTTTGATTTGAGAAAAAAACGTATATACACACATATTTTGGGCACTGAAATAAATAAACCATATATGGAAAATAAGCCCCCCCCCCTTACAGTTTTCAATTCCCATGGGAGCATTAATTAGGGGCAATATGATATGTAATGACTGAGTCACAAGTTCTGGGAATGTCTGTAAATATCATAGCAAAAAGTTTGAATTTATTGTTCTTCTTTCTTCTGCTTGTTTCTCATTACATGATAACTCAAAAACTAAAACAATTTCACTGAGGTGACATAGTTTCAAATGGATTATCCACTTTTAGAAGTATTGTTAACTAGTAGTAATTAAAAAAGGGTTAATTCTAGTGTAAACAATGTTAGCTTTCTTACAGAAATTTAGTGTTCCTTTAAAAAGCTTAAGCACAGGGTGAAACAGGAATTACCAGCCAATAATAGACAAGTAAAGAAAAAAACTTTGCAATAAAATAAGTAAATGTAAGGATGGCTAATATCAATCCTTCAAAAACAATGCAAACAAGATAACAGGAATGGCATTTGCATCGTCCCTGCAAATAGCACAGGCACACAACGTAGTAGAATTTTAACAGACAAAAATAGGATAAACTAAACTCAATTGTGATTGAATAGTTACTTATATTGCTATACAGTATATAGAATGTATCAAAATTAAAAATTTAACTAGTATTTTTATTGTAAGAAGTTAAGTCTCCTTTTTAAAAACATTTTTCATTGTTCAAGGTTACTGATGATGGATGGAATTCCCCAAAACTACCATAACACATAAAAAAGTGGGAGAATTGAAAGACTGTGCTTGACATTTATTATTGGTATTTTTATCATTAAACTAATAACAAGGTGCAAAACAAAAGTAAACATTTTCTAAGTGACTATCTATTGTGTATATATATTTGTTCAGACATGAAGAATGAACACAGTATATTATTCATTGATTCTTGACATGCTCTGTAATTATAAGATAAAAACGGATTAGGAGACATATGGTTTTGAAACTAATATAAATGAAATACAATATCAACTATATAACACTTTAATACAGTCCTAAATGTATATTTGTAAATGTAATGGAAAACTAGTGTGACTTTTTTATATATTGAAATATTTTCAAATTAAGTTTCTTAATTTTTTTCTGTAACCTTTTAATATAATTCTGAATTTGCTAAATATTAATAAATTTTAGTGTCACTTAGCATAACATTATGGGATTTACCATTACACAATCTTGTGCACTTTTCAAGCCTTGCGTTTCTGTATAAATGCATAGAAAACAATATGAGAGTAAAATAAGAAAAATAAATTTAAATCAAGGTGAACGGATAGTGGCCAATATATAAAATAGTTATCTGTATGTTACATCATAGTAGTTGTCAGCATACAATTAGGACTACATATAGAATTTTCACTGAAATTAGTTATAAAGGTGAATTACAGTATTACAAATTATACTGTAAAACAGTTATAATATATAACTTGTCATCATAAAGCTACATGAAATTATCAACTGGACAATTATAAACATGCTTGACACCATTGGTTCAAGACTATCAAAATGATTGAACAATTCAAGATATATTCAATGCACCTCATTCCCCAGAACTTGATGCTTACCAATATCACAATGAGTAAGCCTGAAAAGATACTGTTACATCAGATTATAAGATGCAGAATTTCCTTGGGTTTCATTGCAATGATGCATTATAAAGTATAAAATTAGCTATCTTCTAAAACATAATATATATAAGAGGCCTGTGAGAAAAGTATCCGACCTTTGGCCGG